CTCACCTTCACTGACATCTTTAGGAACATATGATAAGGATGTGGGATGTTCTAGTTTTAGGGAAATGCGAAGATTAGCTCAGGATAGGAAAGAGTGGAGGTACGTGTCCAACCAGTCTAAAGACTGATGACCTTATGATGATGATATCTTCACCAAATTTAATCTATTTCTGTCTATTGTTAGTAATTTTTAATAATTACCAGAATGCTGCAACGTTGTATCCCTCTTCCAAATCCTTCCTGCTTGGTTTAAAAAAGCGTTCACCATTTCTGTTATTTCCAAAGAAAGTACATCCCCCTATACACCCGCATTTATCAATCGCTTTGTTAAGCTCGGGCCAAAGAAACCACAACTTTTTATAACGTTCATCGTGCATTTTTAAGAACTTTTGTTGTACCATGTGCAAATTCTGATTCTTTGCATCCGAAGATATCGCAGATTCCACAATCAACGGTCCAAAATTGACCGCACCCACTTCCAACCACAAATCGGAAATATCGGAGTTTTGTCTGAAATATATGCATTAAGAAACTTACTTATACTTACTTACTTTTAATTTGGGAACACTTACTTAGAATGACTGTATTTATTTTGCTGCCACATAAGTTGTCTTAAAGACATGCTGTAAATAACACAACTAAGTCCTGATCCTACTTGTTTTCCATGCAAATTGCATGTTGATAATCGAATAGGTGACACCNTATAATTATTTATTAGCCATTCCTATGGTAATTTTAAAAATACATATATACGATATATTAAGCGATATGTTGCTGTCTAAAATACCACAAATACGTTTAAACATCCTAAAACGTGTTTCGACACCCGAAGTATTATCCTGGGGATGACGCCTCTGGAGTAGAAACGCATTTAATTAAACACATTTGTAGTTTTATTTATTAAATTAATTATCGATATACGTATTTTATGTTTTGGCTATATCCCTTTGGAACGTAGATGAAGACTTAAGAAAGATTCGTACAAAAAAAGTAAATTAATATTTTGTGATCAACGATTGAATCATGTACCTTGATGGTGGAGTATTCATACTATCTTGCTTTGTAAGAGTCGCCCTTGAACCCAGAATCGAATTTCTCAAACTCGAACTTCCTGAATTGATGTGAAATTCTTCATCCGCAGAGAAAAACGCTTCCGACTGATTTTCACTACATATCGATATCGTCCTTTGAACCTGTTTTTTATTGTTCGTTTTACGACAAAATCTTCTTTAAAAATAACACATTGTTTTGTTTTTAATAACAGATTGTTTTTTTTTGGGTTAAGTTATTGGGATTATCACCAACGCGCTAGTTTTCATAAATATTATCACAAAGTTGTGGAAGACCATATAAATGGAAATTAAAAAAAAATACATGTATTTTTGAAATCCTCTACCAAAAAGTAGAGATTTTCAAAAATATTTCTCCTAGCTTCTTCTTTCAAACTAATAGACAATTCAATTCAGTAACAGTCGCCAAAACGTTTGGATGAAATCAACCCAAAAGCCAGGATAAATAACCTAAAAGCCTCCGATGTATGATTTCAAAAATATTCAAACTTTCCAAAGAAGTTTAATGAAAAACAAAGCTTTAAACATTTACTTTTTTGCCTCATGTTTGCCCAAAAAATAACTCTATTTTCCTACCTTAGCCACTTTAACTTAAAAACATATTTATTTAACATTAATTTATTTGTTTCTCTACGAAATTTCTAATTAATACGAGATATTTCACTTCAAAGCCAAAAGAAATTTAAAACACGTTCGAATTGCATTTCAACTCCAAATGCTCCTCCATTATACATTTATACAACTCAATTTGTAAATTTGGAACTGAGATGTTAGAAATTTTTTTGGAAAGTTTGAGCATTATTTAAATGGTGAGTATGATATCGAAAAGTAAAGATTTACAGCTTCAATGAGCTTTTTTGGATGCTTCTCAATGACCATTGGTAGCAAAGTTAGAACAGTAGTTATAATTATGGATTCTTTGCTCTGTAAAACTACCCCATGAAATTAAAATTTAGCTCATTGAAGGCACGCAATATCCGTAATATTTAATTGCATATGGCAAAATATTACTCCCATTTTTACCCACTACAATTATGAAAACTGTAGGTAATTACTAAAAAGCAAATGATTTTTAGAATACTTTTTTGAAAATGAATGTCATTAACTAATTACGCACCCAGGGTGAATGTGAGCTACATCAAAACAAGTGTCTGCCTCCGTCGCCTAAATCACACATGATATAGCCCACTTTCACCATGTGGTGTATAACAACATAAGTATTAGTTCATTATGTAAAAATAAAATCAAATGTATAGCCTTATCCCCTTCATCTACATATACGACAACCAATCACGAAATCATTGCGTTATTTCGCTACCTATTCCTTTTTCTAGGTACTAGTAGATATATCCCATCTATTATTGTTTCTCCAATTTTTGTCATCACAATAATTAATAAAAGTAATCTTTCGCATGCATGTGGGATGGCAATAAAAAATAATTATACTCAGTGGAAAAGAAAAAGATTTAACCAAAATAATCAAGTTATGTTAAAACAAAATATTCGTTGTAGTTTTTCAAAAAAGAAAAAAAAATATTCATCGCCAAGAAAAAACAAATAGAGAAAATAATGAAAAACACTAAAATAAAAGCCAAATTGGTACACATTGTACATCTAATATAATATACAGGGTGTTTCTGAAATAAGTAGCAAGCTCGCAGGAGATAAAAGGACACTATAAAACGAGAAAATTAAGTAAATGTTTGGTGATCCTAAAGTTCACAATTTTCGAGAAAAGCGTATTTAAAGGTACAAGTAATGCTCAGCCCGGCCCTGGTAGGATCACGCATGGAATACGACAATACAACACCGCAACATCCGTGATGTATTTCTATTGTATTTTTGTACTCATACATTATTTGTTACTTGTTAGATCACATTAAGTGTGGTTGACGATGTCTATAGTATTTCATTATTCTTTTAACATTGTGGGCTTCTATTATGTATGTATGCAGATAGTCGAAGTCATTAAAGGTAGGTCAATGTATCAGTGTAATAGGTCAGTATTATTGCATTGACCAATGCGTCAGTTTTCTTAGAGGCTATTTGAGACTTATTCTGGCCGGTAGGTAGTCCTGATCTAAATCTGTTTGACTTATTTATATGGGGTTGTATGAAACAGTGTATTAAACGCCAGCACAGAACGCTAATGATTTGCACGACCGCGTATGATCGCTGCAAATAAAGTAAGTCAGCTGTCGGACATCTTTGCACGATTCAAATATAATTTTTGTATTGTGCATACATGTTTCTGTGTGTTTACTGGCGTTGTAATATTTTTTTGAAGTGAAACTTCTTTTCGTTTCATGCGAGTTGCTATGTAACGAAATCATGCAACGCATTTCCCCCGCTGTCTGCCCCTATGTATGCTTAGATCTTTAAAACTACCCAACGGATTTTGATGCGGTTTTTTTTAAAAGATACAGTGATTCGAGAGGAAGGTTTATATGTATAATACATGCATAATATAGTAGAGAAACATTGACAATTTTAGAGGTTTGTAATGTGATGTCGTAAATGAACACATTTTTTTGCGCTTACATTGCAAACGCTGGCTGAACCCTACGAGATAGATCAAAATAATATACTACAGTACTGTACACCTTAGAAAGGTCTATCAAAAGTATATGGTATATGTCTACCTCTTAGGGATAACCCACAATAACCATTTTTAATCCTTTACTTTTTACGAGAAATAATCGCTTATTTACGAAGCGATTTTAAGCAATACAGCATTAATCCTTATCCAAATGATGGTTTGGAAATTTAATAAAATTACTGTTACCTATCCAGAGGATATTAATTTATCTACTACTGTTCACATAACGTTATTTTTTATCGCAATGGGCGTCTAAACATTTTTATTGCAGTCCCGTAGTAATAAGCTATTGATATTTACTGTATTAGTCGTTCCACAACTGTCACGGTTTACATTTACCATCGATGTAGCTGCTTAATTGTTATCGCATTTCCTCTACACGTTGCTAATTCACGCCCAGAGCCGGCTTCAGATTACAAATTCGTCTGGTTACTTACCATGCAATTCCTTATTGCATGTAGTTAACACTCTACTTATTTCAGAAACACCAAGTATACCTATACCTTCTGGGTTAAAATATTATTTGATTTTCGTTTAATATGATTCCAGTATTTACCAACATTGGGGGGAGAGGAATAGTCATTCTCTCCCCAATGTTGCATATTTTTTGAAAACCCGATTTTTCTTTTAATTACATAAAATTAACTGTTTTCCATACATTACACAATATCCATTTTCTTGACATTTACCTACTGTATTTAATTCATTTTTGATTCCTTGCATACTATTATTTTTGTTTTACTTTTATTTATTTTCATACAGTACTGATCTGTCAGTACCGCTTCCATTTTATTTAAAGCTATCTCTAGGTCCTCCTTGCTAGAAGCTAATACTGC